ACAGGGATGGGATCTCATAGCTGACAGGGTGGGCATGTGATCTCCTGCCTCCTTGGTCATGTGATAGAATCTCAATCAAACTTCAACTTACAGGTAAGTCTCGTTTAATTTTCCAATTAATTTGCATTTCTGTTTTCATGTGTACAATAGAATCCAAGGAAATTAATTTTGGAAGAAGAAAGAGCCGAACCGAATCATGAACTTGCAAAAGAATTTTAAGAAAGTCAGCCAGTCGGCCGTGCGCCCACATAATTTTTTCTTGATTTGGTTGGTCATGACAAAAGAAGTTTTTGTTTTCGTCTTAGGTTATGTTGTTTCTCTCGTTAAAACCTATGATTGTTCAACAAATTCTCCTTGTTAGCACCATAAGTAATGTATACAGAATGGTTTGGAAAATATGCATACTTATGTTGGGGTGCAAAGAATTAGCAATACAACCTGCGTTAAATAAGTGTTCCTGGTGTGGCGTCAATTTCAATGCTGTTAAAGCAAAAACAATTCAGAGAAACAACCGAGCCAGAGACCTACCGAATCAGAAGGTTTTGGACAGAGACTTATTAAATGTACTAGAATGTAAACAAAATATCATCTCGAGTGTAACGAGGACACACTCTCAAATGTAATAAACTGACACTTAAGCCTTAAACCTTGACTTAGAGGACCAAGTAATGTCTTTAATTAACAAGTCCGACTTAAGAATCATCCAAAATGAGTCTCGCTCTCACATGATAGATTAATAACAAAAAGAACCCCGGAGTGCAACAGCTAAACAAACTTTCAAAAAAAGGCGTTAGTTAAAGTTAAGCCTCAATAAAACTATGCCCTTACGTCAAGATAATAATCTATTGTCCTTTATCAATTGACAACGGCAAGCCGCCAAAGATAAAGAAGTTGATGAACCGAAACAAAACACTTTTTAACTGACAACTCAACAAAACAACATCTACGTAGGATTTTTCTAATTACTTTTAAGTCGGTAATAGCGGATGTTATTTTCTGTAGGCGATGAGATTTCCTGTTACGAGAACGCTTCAACGCTTCGTTTACCGAAGCGAAGCCTTACTCTGAAAACATTTCACCAATAGCTTATTCAATTAACTGCGCACTTCCCGACTATGAGTAGCAAATGCGAAAAAAATGACTAGTGCAATAATCCTGTTGTCCACTGAGTAAAACTTATTATTTGTGTCTGGCAATCAGAGACCCACAAAACATCTCAGCAGATTTTGTTTCAGTAGTTACAGATCTCTTTTATTTACTGAAGCTTAGTCTTACTAAAGAAAGTATTCCATTATTAGTCCACACAGCTAATACAATTAACTGCACATCTCTCGATTAGGAGTAACAAATGCAGAAATGACGGCTGCGATAATCCTGTTGTCCACAGAGTAAAATTTGTTATTGATATCTGTCAATCGGAGACTTGCAAAAAATAGAAAAGACTCTTTTAGCTCTAATAATTCAGAAGATAGAGATGATGTGAAAATTATTCGTTATTCAATTTTAGTTACGGCAGGCTGCACTTCGGTAAACTACTGAAAAAAATGTTTACAATATTCCTTCCTTTGTTGCAGTGTCACACTTTAGTTCGCTTCTTTGTTTGGTACGACTGTCTCTTGAAACCACTAATTAATATCTAAGATGCAAATAAAAACTGCCAGTGGATTTCTTAAAGTGGCGTCATTATAATGACATCTATATTAAAACGGGCACCTCTCAAATACGGACACTTCGCTATCTTCCTTCGTTACAAACAACATTTAGATTGTTTTGACATTTGTGAATAAAAACCTCAAAAAGTGAAAAAACAAAAAGAATAATAATAAACTTAAAACCTAGTTTATTATTAGAAACTGTCTTCGCAAGATTTTCACTATTATTTCACTCGTTAATTTCTTACCTGTGTGAAAAGCACGTGTAATACGGTTGGAAAGCATATTATGGTTAAAAATGTTATCCCTTAGGAAAGTGTTTTCAGATGCTATTCAGTTAGTTAACGATCTTTACCCAAGATTAAGTTTTTATTTGAGCATGAGCTCTTGAGCTTAGATGACACTTTGAAATCGAGGCGAGCCCGAGTTTTAATCAAAGTGATGACACCTTCGGGATTCATTAGCGAATTCTAGCCAGGCAAAGAAAAGAAAACCATTAAAGGAATGTCTGTATTGATTCAATCGTTTTTGAATGTCGTCATAAAGGAAATACCTCTCAAAGCCTCTCCTCTAATTGAGGTCTATCACTTTACATCAAGCCTCTGCGTTAATTTTTACCTCCCTGGAGAACGTCTTTCTTTGGAAAAGCCTCTCATATCACGTTGAGCTTAGGATCAGGAAGCAGCCCTTGCCAATCATAAAAAGCTTCTGAAGTTTAACACTTGCTGGTCCTTTCGTTGTAATGGCCTTGATTTTTGACCGTATTAACAAAGTTAGTCCGGTGTGTGCTGACGAATTACCTACCAGGTACGGAAAACGAACAGAGCTAAATATGACAATCTGCAGCATGCAGGATTGGTATAGAAAACTTATTACGGTATCAAATGGAGAACTAAAATTACTTGCATCCGCCGCGTCATAGTGAGTTTTAGGGATAATGTAGAAATCTGTTTCATTTTTTTTCAAAAAGACGGGCTACTATTCAACTTGGAACACAACTTTTCTAGCTGGGTAATAGCAACAAAAATAAAATGATACAAAAACAAAACAAAAACAAAAACGAAACAAAACAAGACAATACCAGAATTAAAAAAAAACAGTTTTCCGGCTCCAAAGTTGCAGTCTAGATGTTGACGAGTCTAATAAGCTCTATCTAAGCGCCGAGCCGCGACATTGGCACTGAAAAAAGACATCGCCATAGTAGAATAACATTGAGCGATTAGTATCTGAAATGAAACGAAAATCTAACAATCGCGATGCGGTATCTTGAAAGAAAAAATATATCAAACTCAGTGTAAGATATGCGAAAAAAAAGAAAAGAAAAAAAAAAAGAAAGGAGAACGAAAAGAAGGAAAAAACAAAGAAACCAACAAGACAAAAACATTACAAAATGTCCCTCTGAGATATATTTGTAAAAACAACTTTCTGATCTGAATATTGTCACGACAAAGAAACTAGCGAATGTTCGACTCTGAGGTTCTCCGGATGAACTATTAATAATGATCTCAAGTAATAATCACCTATTTGTAAATGTTAGTGCACTACAAAACTTCGTCCTCTTTTGTCTAAAAACGATTGATTTAATTTTAGTTCGCATTTTGTACCCTAGTCCGTTGTCAATAATACAAACTCCACACAATACACAATCCTCAAATTTCTAGAAGTCTTTCTAAGGAAAATTGAAAAAAAAAGAATAAGAATAGAATAAGTAATTTATTATTACCGGTCGAATAACAGCAGAGGTAACCTTGAAGATAAGTTATTGACGACTGAAAAGAAAATTTCGCATGTTACCCTATGCATTTACTATTACAGCTGACAATTCAGCGACATTATATGTACAATTTAGCATCAATTTGATAGCTGTAGGCGGCGATTATTAATGATTCATAGCCTCGTAGATCAATCCTGTCTCGCAGTCATAAAAACAAATGTTAACCTTCAAAAGTCTTTGATACTTGTGCCTCATTTCAAACTTTCCTAAGTTTTCCACTTCATTGTTTATTAAGGACTATCCGTTCTCAATTGTGCCATTAAACTATGGTGTCTCGTGGATATTAGTGACTCGTGAATGAGCTTCTCTACTTCCTAGTATAGTTCAAATCAAAGGAAAGTGTAAGTAGTTCGTTAATGATCCTTCATGGCCGAGGTTACACAGCGGAAACCAACTTGCTTGTTCGTCATTATTAACCAAGTCATAGTCAATTTCGTTTAAAGATGGTAATGAGTGCAACAATGGCAACCATGCCTGTGATGTTAATGCAAGTTGTACCAACACTGCTGGTTCTCATTTTTGTACCTGTAAAGAAAGGATACATTGGAGATGGAGAGTCATGCCATGATGATTAGAATAATCATTAGCATCAGGCGAGACAGCTATTGTTATCATAACTTAGCAGTAATTGCATGATTTTCCCTTCCTAATTTTGTATTTATGTCAGTTTACCTTTTCTTCCAGATATCGACGAGTGCAGCGATGGAATCCATGCTTGTGACGTAAATGCCAATTGCATCAACACTAACGGCTCCCACAACTGTTCCTGTAATAAAGGATATTTTGGGAATGGAAAATCATGCCAAGGTATATATAATTCACTCTGACAAAGGGCTGACGCTCGAAACGCCAGCTTTAGAAACTCCTTACTATGGCAAATTTGCATTGTCAACTCAGTTGATTGAAGTCAAATTATCTTTCAATACCCCCCACCAACACAGCAGCCCAGTTTCCTTGAAAATTCTTATTTTCATATAAGGTTGAACGTCTTTTGAGCTTTAAATTTCGATTTGATGTATCCACCAGTCGTTGTCATCAGTATTTAGCTGAGGCATGAGAAGTGGCTGCAATAAGAGGCTTGAAAATACTCGATGATCGCAATTATATTAAAATTGGCAGCTGTAATTCTCATGCGTAGGAAGGAAAAGAAAATTTGTTCTGAGGTGGTGCGAGGTGTTTGACATACTATCCTGTTAAAGAACTTACAAATTCTCATTCATCATGAAGTTTGTTTCACCAACACAAAAATGTTTGGCGTGAAAAATTAGTTGCATCAACTTGTTTACAGCTTTTTATGACCGTGGCCACATCGAAAACAATCTTACTTGTACCATCCTCGTCGTTGTTAACATTATCATGATTGTTTGGTTTTTTTGGTAGCTATCGACAACAAATACTTTTGCAAGGTTAATACGAGGTGTTCCAATGGCTCTCATAATTGCATATTTAATGTGTGAGAGATTGGAGATTGATAATTATGCAGAGGTATTGCAGAGTGGCCTTTAACTTTCAAGCAAAGAAGCCTTTTGCAACAGTTATTGCCTGTAAAACAAGCACATGTTGATCCCTTTAAT